TCGATATAGGAGAAAATAGTTCTGATTAAATAATGATTATTTTACTTGGCTCTCTCCAACCATAACTTAATCCCCGAAGTACTGGAGCAAACTTAAGTTTATAAGTAAATTAAATATTTATATTTATTTTTTGTAGGTTAGCATTTTAAAAAAAATTCAATCAACTGGTTTAATTTAAACAAACTGTCAAAACAATATTTATGCAAGTATAGGCAATTAAAAATGAGTGTTTTTTTCGGAGCAGCTGAAGGGGGCCTCTTGGAATGAAGCAAGATGAAACAATGACGTCATCACACCGGCAGTTACTGTCATGATCTTTCCTAACTAACCAAACTTGCTGATAATGACAAAATCGAATGAAGGTTAAATTCTGTTCATAAAATAAAACTAAATGCCTCAAATTCTAACAAAAGATTTACAGATAAGAAGAAATGGCATTCTAAGCAAAATCTTTGATAAAAAGAAAAAGTTAAGTGTCACCGATGGAATTCCATCTAGATATCTCTTGCACATCAGCCGAGTACTTTATCCACTACGCCATGAACACCCATGGCTGTCCATCACACGCCAGCAAGGAAAGAAGAAGATGAATTTGATTACACGAGTCGCGAGAAACAATGACGTCATCATCTTCATTCAGAGAGGCTTCCTTCAGCCGCTTTCGTGTTCTTTTTAGCATCGACAGTAAAACAAATTAATGTGTTGTGGACTGCCAGGTTAAAATTTCCGTCATGATAAATTGAAATTCCACTGAAACTTAAATAATGAAAGCCAAAATTAGTTATAAATAAAACGTGAGTTTCCTTTATATTGCTCTTTATGGAAATAGACTATACCGAGCCATGGCTCGGTCCCCCGGTACTTTTAAGATGAATACCACTTTTATGTTTTTACAGTATACATGTTAATGAACAGAAAATATTTAAAATTAACATGAAATTTTATAAGATAAAATTAAATTGTTAAAACTACATAACTATTCATATTTTAACTCGTAATGTGTAAGTAAGAAGCGACAAAAAGCTACCCACAGATCATCCACTCCATTCTACGCTCCTGCAATCTCCTTTTTAACTAAAATTATATATAGACTACTCAAAGAAAGTCACTTTAAATGAAATTTGTGTGGGTTTTGAAAGGGTAGAGACAATTAGATTACAAAGAGACAAATGAAATGGGTTGCTAATGTTAGATTTACCGAATAGGTCATGATAGGTATCTTTTTAAATTCTTCAGAGAACTCTTTGTAAAGTCTCCTTCAAAATTCATTCCTGTCTTAAAGTAGTTATTTGTCTTTAATATGTTCCCAAAACCTATCCTGGGTATTCAAAGGAAATGTATTGTAAATATTTATGATTAAGGCAGTTATTTTTTCATGATATCTTTTGCCTCTCTGTTATACAATTCACTCTGAATGAGTCATTCTGGTTTTTCATCTGCTTATTAACCAATTCAAATGTGATGATTGAATGGAATTCCCTTATGAAGATTTAGTGTTATATAATGGTGTTGAAAGTGGAGGTTTCAATAAAAATCACACAAATGATTTTGTAAATTTAAAAACATGAATTCATTAATTGAATGACAAATGCAAGTTATAGATTTTGTTTCAAACAATGTTTCAACAATATAAAAATTATTATCCTATTTGTAGTATTAAAATTAATTGAATATTTCAAAGTTCTTGAAGGTATTACAGTTATTGATTTAAAATATATTTTTGAAAAACACGAAATGGCGGCTCTGTGAGTAACCATTGACTTACAGACGATTTAAATGTGATATTTACATTAGTTATGGACTTAGAAATAATAGCTTTAAAGGTTGGCTTGGGAGTTACGGAACACCCTGTATGCGATACGCTCAAACATCGAATTCAGTCTATGACTAGTCTAAATTCGTGACCCACTTCGCGATGTGGAAAGTGTCAAATTCCCACGTCGCAGAGTGAGCATTTTATTCGGACATCGGCCGAAGTGAAATGCCCAGACTACCTTGTGGGTAAACTGATTTACTCAAATGCCGAAAAAATTGAGGTTTTTGAATGCCGAATAGCCTGTAAACTGTCGCATACACAAAAATCTACATCCACCTGAAATCTACAATCACTAAGTAAAGTAAAATAAAATTAATGTTTGTAATCTATATATTTAATTCCGTAAGCGAATCGGTTTCCACAAAATATCTCGAACTAGGTAAAAGGTTATAAAAGGGCTGTGTTAGTTAGTTAATTAATGTTGTAAACTTATTGTACTAATAATAACATAACTAATAATAACATATATCACATGTATAGGATTCACTTTAAAGATTAAGGTCCAAGGATGGTGGGAAAAACATCAGAAGTGTTAAAAGTTACCCCTGCTCTGCCCCACAGGCCGTCAAAGATCCCGTCATTTTACCGAGTCATGTAAGTACTGCTACAGTGTTTCTATAAGCTGTTTTAAACATACCAGCTGATGTAAACATTGCGTATTTGTATGTTTATTGATATTAGTGTTCTGTTTTTAGGTTAGAATGGTTATGCAGTTTTGAAATGTATCATGTTGGGGGGAAACCGCTACTAAATGTGTTAAAAAGTGTTCATTATTTTTTTAAATTTGTATACATATAACTATAAAGCATCAATTGCTGATATGGTCCCCTAGTTAAATTTATTTACTTAGTACAAGTATATAACAAACATTTAAGACAAATATGGGTAACACCAATTTACCGAATAGGAAAAATGATAAAAAAAGGCCCATTAGGAATACCCAGACATTGAAATAATGTTTTTCCCCTATATAAGAGCAATTTAAAACAGCGGCTATTACTCAGTTCTTGTTACAATTGTATTTTTGTTCTTTTAAACAATAACTGCTAAAGCTCTACGAACTAGTCGTCCCCTGTCAACATCAGCAATACTGACCAACTTTTAGTCTCCAGTCCTGGACTGAAACTGGGGCTAACTTTCTTTTCGTGTTCCTTAACACTATTTTCTGCCTCGATTTTTAAGGAATTTCACAGTTTTCCCGTGTGTATCATAATAGCAGATTGTCTTGAGCAAAAAGCAGTGATCAAATAACGTGTCTAACCGCTCTCTTAGGTCTTTCATTATAGGATGTCCAGTGAAAACGAAAATTCGGCGTATGTGCAAACTAGAAATGCCACAACCCAGTTAGAGGAATCACTTTTGCTCACATCGAGTTGTGGGCATTTTAGATTGTTGCTCAATTGCCAAAGTACGTTTTGACTTCGGCAATTGAGTAAATCAGTTTACCCACAACACGGTCTGGGCATTTCGCTTTGGCCGATTTCTAATTACTCTCTCCGAGTTGTGGGTATTTCACACTGTCCACATCTCGAATTGGTTACAATATCGGACATATGTCCGAATTCTGAGTCTGAGGTAACATATACTACACCTGGAGGGGAAAAGGGCAGCCAAAGTATTACGATCATTCATCTCAACCACTTTACCTCAATTCCATCCTTTAACATAAGTGACTGAAAAGAGAACGTAAAAACTGCGCCCTAAAAACAATTCAAAGCTTTAATCACTTAATTTGTACTACAGTGTCAATGTTGCTCAAAATTGAACACGTAATAACACGATAGCGCTATCATGACACGGCACGGCAGCGGTTGTCATGATAGCGCTATCGTGTTATTACGTGTTTAAATGTTTCGTGTTCCGTGTTTTGTTCTATGTGTAAATTATTTGATGTTTTTGACAAAAAGCTCTGACGATGTTGCAGTGCAACGAAACATGTAAGCTTTGAACAACATTAGTTGAAAAAGACACAATTTTGGACTACTGACAGGTAAGCCTATATAAGTCATTATTCGTAGTCCAGGGGCTATCAGAATGAATAATATAATAAATTCTTAACTCTTAAACGTGCAAGTAAAATGAAAAATAATATTTGTTTACAATAAAAACTTGTTTGACTACGATTGTCTCTCTTCAACACCATTACCGTATTACATTTCATCATGAAAAAAATTAAGGGTTCAAACTATTATTTTCAAAATAGTTTAAGGATATTTGGTAGGATCATAAAATTTACGTAACAATATGAGAAAATGAATATAGATATTACCGGTATGTCTGAAGTTTAAAGAGCTAGATATCAAAAACTTTTTTGTATAGGTACCCATTTCTATTTGGGGTCCACTAGACCCCCGTGCGCTCCAGAGTAAAAAAAAACAAGTGTGCGCTTAAGGTTTAAAAAAACATTATCTCTATTTTACTTTTAAGTTACTTGGTGGGCCAGGTGGGGGTAGGTGGGGGTCCATGACTTATCTATGTTTCCATAAGTTAGTTTGCAAATCGGTTCTTTCAACGATTGCTCTTCATAGGCTAATTAATTTAAATTTCTTATATCAGTGTGGCATATAAGTTATAATTTATTAAAATTTAGTAAATTCATTTAGGGAGGAAAAGTATTAAGATAGGCTACATATTATTTCAACAATGGTTAGTTGTATTCATTGTTGTTGTCTGAATGGCCGTTACATTCCATAAACAACTTAATTACATGTAAAAAAGCTATTATACAACTTAGAACTAAAAAAAAAGTTGAGTTGGAAACATGGTTTGGATCTTTGTTTGAAATTATATTTATTTGAACCAGATTTGAAAACTATAAAATTACATTTCAGCTGTCGGCGTCATATTTTTATTTTTATGCGTAAACTGCACAGTGCACAGGTTAGTTTGACCGACCGTCTCTAGGCGTAAGAAAATAGTTCCTTAATTAATTCATCCGAATTATTTAATATTAGTGTTTAACAATTGCATAGATAAACTAAATAGAACCTTAATTAATGTTAACGAAAATTAGCCTTTTTACAACAAAGAAGAACAATAAAAAGTATCAAACAAATACGACGTATTCATCCGCAACGAAACACTTCTGAAGGGAAGTGTACGTTTGAAGTGACAGTGTCAGTGTGAGAAATTTTGATGGTTACTGTATTCCATTTCTGTGAAATTGAAGGTTAAAGCAACCAGTGTAAACAAACAATGTTGAGGCTGTGAATTTGTAAATAAATATTATTATTAAAATGGACGCAAAACTTTGTCGGCTATGTGCTAACAAAAAAGAGTTGTTTGTTGGAATTTATGATGACGAAGGGCACAAACTTCGTATTGAATCTAAGATTGGCAAATGTCTTCAAATTGAGGTGAGATTTAAAAAATTTAAGGTTAGGTTAAACAGCAAACGTTCCAACTTATATTTTTTACCAGCTACAAACTTAGTACAGGCTAGCCTAGGCCTAAGTTTATACTAATAATGTAAATCAGTAACTTACTTACTGCACTCAAATTTGTACCACAATTCTTAGTTAGCCTAAATAAATTGAATGTCTGACTAAAATCCAGGAGTTCATTCAGGAAATAGGTTAAAGCTAGAAGACATGGGCATAATTTAACTTAAGTGCCTGTTGGGTTAAGTTTAGTCCAGCCAAATGCACTTGTGATCTAGCCTAGCCTAACTTAACTCTAAACCAGCCAACCTACCTTATCTACCAAGCTTCTGCTAAACGTTAGGCTAAGCTAGTATGATTTATTTTTACGCAGAGGATACGCGTCTGGCTACCGAAAGTGGATTAGGCATCCCGTAGTGATGTCACCGCTGGGTTGTGGGGGCCCGGAACACCATTATAATAGGGCCTACGTAGGCTTAGGTGCAGCAGTCAAGGTGTATTCCAGTTTATTAAAAGTAATGTCTCCAGTAGCCTCCTAGCAATTTTAAAATCTTCCCTTGTTTAACCAACCATTTCAACCTAGCTAAACACAAAATAGATTACTTAATGTAACTTAGCCCCCCATAATTAATGCAGCCGCGAATCTGCATAAACACATAACTTAAACCTGCCCTCCAAAACAAAACCAATGTTTAGGTTGGTATTGACTAATTTTTCCTAAGTTATTTCAAACAAATTTCTCCTACGGTACCTACCGTACCTAAGTTATTTCAAAGAAAGTTTTACTTTTTTTAAATATAGGCCTAACTTAGGCTATTGGAAATACAAAATTTAATTCCAGTTTTGCGCAAACAGAAACATCCAGTATTTGAATCTCGTCTCTCCATCAGTGTGTAGGCTTAACTGAAAAAGGTATAAATTTAAACTGAATTAGGTTGTATCTTTTCAGATGTATCCCGAAGATCCATTGCCTAAGATGGTATGTTTGGATTGCTGCTCCAGACTGGAAGACTGTTATCGATTTGTTGAGGATACTCACATGGCTCAGATGACACTCCATCGGCTCTTCCCCATCACCGAGGAAGTCTGTCAAACCTCGGAACTGAAGGAGGAAGATAGCCTTGTAGAGCTACTTCCCCTTCCAGCTCCAACCAATCAGGCGCTTGCTACACATCACGTCACTGTATCTGTTCCTGTTCCGGTATGGAATAGCTAGGCCTACTAATTTTGTTGTGTTCAAGATGATAACCAAATCTTTTCATAGTGAAGTCTAATTTAGTATTAGGCGATTTATCATTCTAGTAACTGTAAGTTAAAATGTTCTAGGTCCGAAGCTTGTTTGCATGTCATGGGATATAGGCCCTGAGAGATATTTGTACTCCCCTCCACCCTTTCTTGCCGGAGAATTGTTCTCTTCCTTGGGCCCCCAAACAAACCTAAATCCATTTGCGCCCCTGGGTACATGTAAGCCTACTAAAGCAAAACTTAGGCCGATGTTAAGGTCGGAGCCTGAAAGGGGGGGGGAGATAGTGGTGGTCATAGGCCTCTCTAAGAAGAACCTAAGTTCAGTACCTATGATATGTAAGGTTTTAGGAAAAAAATAAGCTTAATATCTTTTAATAGTTTTTAAAGATTCAGACTACCAAATACCCTATTATAAAGTGTTTAACATTAGCCTAAGTTATATTATTTTGTTGAGGTAGACCTTTAAACCTTTTTGTGTGAACCCAAACGCATGCACACACCGTGACACTGATTCATAAATGTATAGTTTTTTGTGTTTTATGTATATATTCGTCAATGCGTGTTCTGTCTCTCTTCAATATTAAATTTTGTATATGAGGAATCGTAGAAAATGATACTGTAATACTTGAAGCTGTAGCAGTGTTGCTAAAAGACATACCGGTAGGCCTAGCTTTGAATTTTGGCGATTCATTATAAGCAGATAGGGGCAGATAGGGCACCGCTGATATCAGTGCACATGAATGACAAAATAAGTCAGATAAGATGTTTCAAGACATTGTGGTGGTCAAGGGTAGTGGTTATGCTAATCAGAAAATAATGAGCCCATGAATTCCTCTTGAGGTCAACATCAATAACCAAATACTACAATATATATTAGTATTTTACTCTAATGGATATTGCAAGGTAAGGGATAACTTATAATAGATTTATTGTGTAGGAAATAAGTGCTGTGAGTGAAGAGGTAGAAGAAAAGGTGGATGGATTAGAAGATGATATAGAAGAGGAGGAAGAGGAAGATGACGACGAAGAGGAAGTAGATTCAGGAGATCTATCTCAGGATGGCCTCGACCAGGTTATGGAGGAAATGGTAGAAGTCCCCAATGATGAGAATGAACCAGGTACCAGTATTTCACTTTAACATTCTGTTTGTGCAATTTGTAGATTATTAGTCTTATGTTCATTGTTCCCATAAGTCATAGTTGTTTGTAACAGTGTGGAATAGTAATAAGAATTCAGCTACACAAGCCGCCACACTCGACCCACATCCCACTTAATCTAAGCTAATCCCTCACTTAAACATGCCTTAAAGTATGTCCTTGCTGTAAGTGACAACTGACAAGTATTGAAAAGTGTAAGGGAGGTCTATAAATGTTCTAAAGCCCTCTAAAGACGATAAAGATAAAAATAATATAAAAAAGTTATAAAGATTTAATTAAGCGGAGCGAAGCGATGATCTTTGAAATAGACTTCAATGCAAACTCTCTTATCATCTTGCAATGACGGCTGAACGTATTTCTACCAAACTTACCAAGGTTGTTACAACAATCAGTGAGAAGGTTTGTCTTAAGGAAAAAAATTTAATTTGATAATGCCCTTACATTTAAACTAACTTAGTTTTTAATTTTGAACATCAGGCTTATAGATATGTAATTATTCCAGTTTTCTCAAATGTCTTCACTATGTTGTGAATTGCTCGCTCAGTAGGTCAGTTTGACCATACTTTTTTTATCAAATTTTGGTATGGATTTTGTAATGAATTTATTTTTGTGCAACAACTGAACAATTTTAACATGTTAAACGATCCATTTCATAAATGAGTTTGTTATACACTTAAGTTTTATGTAGGGTAAAAACCGATCGGTAGGGCCTACTGATGAGCAGAAGTTCATTTGCCAGTGTTGTCAAAATAGGAATCTGAAAATGGTTCACCGTTATTACTAGCACTGAAGCAAACCAGATCGGATGTCATTCCAGTCCATGACCAAAAGTAATGATAGTAGCCATTCATAGCTCATTGTGATTGAGCACCAAGTAAAAAAAACGGTATCAGCATTCTGACTCATACTTTCTCTTATAAGTTTGTCAACAACCTTTATCATGTGTAAGCGGTGAGAGTAAATATACGGAAATGGGATTTGTACAATTTTGTTCGGAATTTAAAGGACTATAACATACTAAATTTTTATCAAAATCGTTCGGGCCAGTTTTGTGAAAATCCGATTTTTATGTTATTTTATGGGGTTTTATGGGAAAATTCCCATTAAATTAAATTTTTTAAAAATGAAAAACTATCAAAACTTTACGGACCATAACATACTATGTTAAATTAAAACCGGATTTTTTTCTAAAATCCTATTTTTTGTTATTTAATGGGGTTTTTATGGAAAAATAACATAATTTACCATAACTTTTGAACCGTAATTTTTACAGAAATGAGATTTGTACCATTTTGTTCAGAATATAAAGCACTATAACATACCAAATTTTTATCAAAATCGTTTGGGCCATTTTCGAGAAAATCTGATTTTTTCAGTTTTTTATGGGTTTTTATGGGAAAATCCCCATTAAAAATCAAAATTTCAAAAAGATGAAAAAAACGCCTGGAGATAGCCTACCATGGATTGATTAAAACCTACATACCAAATTTCATCGAAATCGGACCACAGGTGTAGTCCCTAGCTCTGTACACATCCAGACACACAGACACACACACAGACATCACTTCGAAAACCACTTTTTTGGGTCCAGGGGGACCCAAATGAATATATCCACTCAAAACTCAAACTCAAAAATTTTGACGAAAACAATACTTTCTCCATATACCGGTACTATGGTATAGGGGGAGAAATTAAAAAATTCAGCTAAGCTTTTATTTATGCGATCTAAAAAAACGTCTGCAGGTATTACGTGATTGAAATATGTCAGCTGTCTCCATAATCGCAGAAACAGTTAAGGTCTCTGCAACTTAACTGATATTCACCTTACAGCTGCCTAGGTTTGTTATAGCCAATATTATGCTTGACCCAATATTATGTTATACTAGACACTAAGGTATGATTTGGGCTGTAAATAAATAATAAATGTTATAATAAACACATCAAATCAAAGTACATTTGCAAGTTCATGAAAATAATACAGTAGAACTTTGATAAGAAGACTCTCGTGGGGATGATCAAATATGTCTTGCTATCAAGGTTGACTTCTTATTGAGGTTTGCAATAATATGCATTTAAGGCCAATATAAAATCAAGGGTATTGGAAAATTACACTTGTTATCAAGGGCCACTTGTTATTGAGGGTCTTCTTATCGAGGTTCCACTGTATTGTCAATAATATTAGTTTGGTTTTTTCTGATAAGAAAAACTATTAGTGACAGGTAAGGAAAAACAAAATTAAATAAATCTTTCACACCTGATCATAACCTAGTTTGTGTAGAAAAACATTTTTGGTAGGAACCCAATAAATTTTGTAAAACTAGGTTACGACAAGATGTTGTACATTCTCTCTGTGAAATGTAGTTTTACAATATAAGTTAAGAAATATATAACAGCCACAATTAAATCTAATATAAGTTAGCCTAATTGGGTATTTCACTCCAAAATTGTTGTCTAAATTAGGATCCCCGAAACTTATTATTTAAAAAAATCTGTTGTGTTTTTCCGTATCTTTAAGACCTGAATAATTTACATTTTTGTAATAAAAAATAATCCAGCAAATTTTATTATTCAATACATTTCTAACACCAAGCTGTCTTTTTTTACCTATAAATACCTTTTAGAAGGCAAAATTCTGTAATACCACTCAAAGTTTTCCTAACATTGTTGATTTATTGATGTTGAAATGACACCCTTTATTGATATGTTTCAGTAGGTAGCCATTCAGTTTTCCCAGCTTAAGCAATGTAGATGATAATCCTGACAACAATGTCCCTCGAGCTATGTAACTTTCACTCTTGCTGTTAGCTGATATAACTGTAGTCGCCTAATAGCTTTAGATGTGGCAATGTTGTAAAAACAATCACAAACCTTTGTTTCCTTGTGTGTCATATCACTGGTTCTCTCATTCTGTAAAATCAAAATTTATAGGAATCATATTAACACGTAGTCTACTCCAAGTTGGAACATTTTTACCAATTCTATTTGTGATTATTTAATTTAATGTGGTTAGTTCTGATTAGAGTAGGATTTATTGACACATATGAATGCAAGAACGACTGATTAATATGAATATAATATAATATAATATGAGTATTATGAATGGTGATAGTAGGCCTATAGGCTACTGTAACTTACTTTAGTGAAGGTTTACTGAAGTCGGTTTTGACGGTTTTGCACTACACGATGGCCAAATGAGACATTTTCATAATTATCTGTACACCATCACTTTACAGTAACAGTTATTTATTGGTACCCCCCTTTAAAATAAATTAAGCTAAATAATTGGGTCTTTTTCAGAAGATGGCCCCCACTATTTAAACTGTGGAAATCCCACAGTTTAGGTTAGGTGATTTTTGAGTGTTTTTATTACAAAATTTACCACTAGAGAGTAAACATGTAAAACATTTACCAGCTCTGGATTTTTCTAAACTTTTTAAGTTTCTTCAGAAGTTTTCTTTTATTGTCACTTGCAAAATTACATTGTCTTAGCTTTCTGTTTATTTGTTGATTTTGATATAGGTTCCTATCGTTAGATATCTTCTGTCAACGTCCTTATGTAAGTCACCATTTAATAAGTACAATTTATTGGTAATGGTAGTTACAGACAACGGCTCAAAACAAACAACACGTGATCATCCCCCCTCCCACACCCCCGCTTCCGAGCCAAAGTTGCGTCATAGATAACAACCGGGCTGAAATAGGATCCTAGCAGTCGAGTTAAACTGAAATGTCAAATTTAAAAATAGTTGATTAGCCTCTGGATTACTGTATTATACTTAAAATGGTTTTCAATACCTGCATATAGTAATCCTTGGTTGCTGCTTTTGGCAACTAGTTTAGGTTCTGCTGAACCATCATCAGGCCTCAAGGTGTCAGGTAATAACTTCTTTCGAAGGTCGTTAACATACAGAGTTCTATAAATAAAACTTATACGAAACACGATAACACGGAACGGACACACGTTTACAAAAAACACAAAGGGACATTGACATAATCAATCATGACCGGGTTGAGGGAAAGTCTAGACTGGTGGTCTATGATGTCTGTCTCTGTCTTCTTATCACCGGTGCGTGTTCATTCATTCATTGTTATTTATTGAACTCTGTATGTTAACGACCTTCGAATGAAGTGATTACCTGACACCTTGAGACCTCATGATGGTTCAGAAGAACCGAAACTAGTTGCCAAAAGCAGCAACAAAGGATTACTTTATGCAGGTATTGTAAACTATTTTAAGTGAAATGTCACAATCTTTTAAAGCCTATTATGGTATTACAAGAATGAAACAATTTTGTATTATAATCACTGAATGCTTGCTGATTATAAATACTATGTTATACATTTCTTTGCGTTAAAGAGAGTTTATTATTTAAACCATTATATGCAGACTTTGGTTTTAGTTAATCAATAACGATTTGCAACACTTTAAATGTTATTTGGCAACTTTAACCCTATTCAAAGAGAAGACAAAATTATATCTTCTCTGTGAACTATTACGAAATAATCCGTATTAAAACAGGAAAAATACCCCCGCCGCAGCAAACCTGCAGACTTGGCGAATTTCCATTTGCCTGATTGGATTTAAACTAAAATGTCTCCTTAAAAATATCACATTTATTCCCTATTTAAACAGAATTAGTTTAATGAGTACTTAGGTTTGCTGCAACAGGGAGGGTAAAAAAGTTTTTTTTATGTAAAATATTAAAAGGTACTGCGGTTTAGGAAGAAATTAATGTATTTTCTAAATTTGATCAAAATATATTCATAAACAAGCAAACTACAACAGTTGACTTATTCTCCATAAGAATAACATGGGAATTTTAAAATTACAATTTTTTTGAATTTTCTCAGTAACAATTAGGCGCATAATAACGCTTCTATATACTAAATTATTTGTTTTTTTAAGCTCTACAAAATGGTTTAAAAAGAAATTGTGAAATTTTGTGTTTTTAGGGTCAAAAATGGGAAAAACCTATTTTTACCCCATAAAACCCCCCATAAACCCCCGTTCCCATAGTCCGATCATGCTGGTTTGCGAACTCATTCAAGTTTATCCCGCCTTACACCTTCAAACCAAATTTTATCAAAATCGGACAAAAATTACTCAAGTTATCGTGCGGATGGACACACATATATATATATATATATATTAAGTCTTTATTTATAGACTTTGAAAATTGCCTTAGAGCCGAAACTATAGTCAGTAAATATTTTAATAAATAATTTTACTTGGGTACTAAGTTTATTAATGTTTAATCTTTATTTATATATAGTAGCCCTATTTTTCTATTTTTCATATATATATAGATATATAAAAATTTGAACGAATGGTGTTTTTGGCCTCTGGGGACATCAAAATGAAAATGTAAATCGGTCCCGGGCTTAGGTCTTACCATGAGACCTACGGTAATAGCTACTTCCCTATATGGAAATTCGCTAAAACTACTGAAGTCAACTGAACTTTTTCCTACTGAAATTTTCGCACATAAAAATATAAACACAGGAATAAAAATATCACCACTACTAACTATATTCATAAAACTACATTATTTTTTGGAGGGCAATGCGTGATTAATACATGGCAACTGATTCGACTCGCAGCGCGCGCTACGATCACGCGCTCATATAACTACCGGTACGCATATCTCAGGAAATAACGCGTCTAACAGTATGTATAAAAAAATTTAAATTTGAATATTTGTCTAAAACTTTCACGCTGGTCAGATGCTTCTAACCAAATAGTATGTGATTTGGTAGCCGATTAACTGTTTCATGTTTAGTTTTAAGAAAGGCCAAGTATAAAGAGTGATTTCACGGTTAAGTTTGTACAATTACTAACTATTTTTTCACAACACACATCGTCCACTTATAATTGATATCCATATCAAGTTTTATAATTTTTCCCAATTCTAACTGTTCAAAATGTTGATGTTGTTTGCGAGGCGGTTTGCCCCCAAGGTGATGTCACAACGTGTTGCGCAGAACGGTCTCTAACTCGTCCGGCTGAATAGCACACCTGTCTTACTTCCACCATGTGTCAATTGATCATCGTAATTATTATCCTTCACAGGATAATTACAATGATCAGTTAGTGAACATCAGATAGTTTAACCTTTTTTTGATTTGTGTGTCTGTTATGCATCTTATGTACTTCCCTTGCTTTCCATAACTCATTTTAAAATCAACTAGAGATAATAATGATTTAGCAAAAATATTATTGCCCTAGAGGTTAAATAAAATTAGGGATGGACGAGATTGGATTTTTAGTTCAAGACGAGATTTGTTATTTCTCATAAAATTTCGAGACAAGATCGAGACGGGATTTCCCTTCTCATACACAACGGGAAATGCACGTTCAAAATTTTTACCTGATTTTGTAACATTGTTAGATGACTGTTTAAATACAAAAATAATGATAATAGACAAGAATATTTACAATCTTTTATTAAAAAATATCAGCATAACATTTTTTTATTAATCACGCCTAATTTATTAAAAATGCCTACGATTAGGAAACATAGTGATATCACTATCAGTTAGGATAGAGTTCAACTTATCCTAAAACAAAATAAATCATAAAATAAAAGCAATATTAATTTTTATAAAATAGTTACTTGTTTTGACTTTTTGTAGTAATAAAAAATTCCTCACACTGCTTACACTTAACAAAACTTCTCAAATGTTATTAAAGTAATATTATTTAAATAATTAAAGTAATATTTACATTTAAAGAATTAATTAAATAAGAACGCCTTTGCAAAGGAAACGCAACTACAACACGCTCCTGTATTGCGGGTATTGCATTGACTTTCTGCAGGCGTTTTTAATTTTTTTTTTTTTTTTTTAATTCTCGTCTCGATAAAAATCTTGGCCAAAAAGAAATCTCGTCTCAAGTAACGAGACTTAAAATTTCCCGAAAATTTCCCGAAATTTCGAGACTTGACCATCCCTAAATAAAATAAATTATGAAATAAAATAATTTGGTATAAAATTGTAGGAGACAAAAATTAATCACGCAGTAAACATTGTCCTTGATTGCTAACTGTTTTGTTCTAGCATTTAAGTAAAATTGATTCTGTTAGCACATCTGATGTTAAAGAGCCTATACAAAATTTCAGGTAGTGGGACGAAGAGGAAGCGAAGTAAACTGAAAAAGGTAGAGGAACTTACAGACCAGGAGATAGAAGAGTTAATGGCTCAAGACAAGCAGTGGCAACAATATCCTTGGGTGTGTTCTCAGTGTTCTCAGGTAAGGTGTACCAAGCACCTAACAACCCGATTAAAGTTATACTTAGTCAAGTATACAGGGTGATTGATATAAGTGTGCCAGCCCTTTTATTCGAAAACCATAAGAGATATCAAAAAAAGTTAAATGGTAAGTGCCTTGGATTTTTTATTTTAAAAATTGTAGTCAAGTCGAAAAAAATATTTTAGCCGCTATTTTTCCAATATGGCCGCCAACTTTGATTTTTCTTATGGAACGCTCTGTATTTCATTATGTATTCCGGTAGACAATGTAATTTTAAGACAATTTTATTCTTGTGATTTTTTTCATAAACCTAACCGTTTCAAAGATAATAATGGTTAAAGTTGTGAAATTTCGAATAGTTTTTGAATAAAACAGCTGGCATGCTTGCTTAGGCCTTTATCGAAACTCTTTCTTATGCCGAATTTTTAAAACTTTAAACATTATTATCTTTGAAACGGTTAGGTTTATGAAAAGAATCACAAGAATAAAATCGTCTTAAAATTACATTTTCTACTGGAATACATCATAAAATACAGGAAGTTCCGTAAGAAATATCAAAGTTGGTGGCCATATTGTAAAAATGGCGGCTAAAATAATTTTTTTTGACTGGACTAACATTTTTAAAATAAAAAATCCAAGGCACTTACTATTTAACTTTTTTTGATATCTCTTATAGTTTTAGAATAAAACGGCTGGCACACTTATATCAATCACCCTGTATTTATTATGAACCAAGGTAAAGGAACTGTAATATTTTTTTTCACTGCTATACTACTTTATTTTGATTTTTAAGAGTCAGTAAATCAAAACTATTACAGGTTGCCCACTTACTTTATATAGACCTTAAAACCACGGATAAGTCTTTTTTCCAATTATAGATTGAGCTAGGAATTTTTACGGTTAAAAGCTTTAATATTAGGGATAAGCTGATTCCGATTCTCAATACATCTAAACTCACGGTTGATTAATATATAATTGTGATTCTGTGTGAATTTGATTTCAATACCAAATCCAAAATATTCCTTGATTGTGGTGAAATCGCATTTACCGCATTTGCTGTATATAGAAGTTCCCCATGCGATAACGGAAACTTTGACACATTGTGAATTTTTAATGAATCAAACATGGCAGACAACTTCTGCAATCGATGAATCCCAAGATTCCCGCCCTAAAAATACCAATATTATTAAAATGTCCTAAAAAAAATTTCCTCAACATCCCTGTTTGAAAAGTCATTTTGAATCCGAAATGTATTTTGAACTCAGGACAGAGCAAAATTTTGTTCCCTCCTCAAATTTGGAACAGAAATTTAACAAGACTTGTCTTTCTGTGAAACAATAAATTTTTAATTTGATTAAAAATATTGAATAACAATTAATTATTTCAATTTGCTATGATGACAAACAGAGTACATTTTTGGTCTTTATTTTACTGTTGTATGCCATCATGAACAGTAATTCGTGGACGTGACACTATTGCTATTATCTCCTGCGATAGCAGCAACATCGTCATTGCCACCTGCCAGAGCATTAAAATCGTAAACATCTCCCATTACCAGAGCGAGAACACCATATTCTCCTGCAATAGGGGCGAAATCATAATCATCTTCTGTAATTGCGGTTACATTATCAACATAATTTGCAGTCACAGGGACACTATCGTCAGTCATCACCCTTCTTAGCAGCGAAATAACAAACAATTTTGTACGATTGAGGAGATAACACTGTCTTTTCTCGCAATAGCGGTGAAATTGTGGAGACATAATTATCAATGTGGTCTTGGTTTTTCTTCTACACCCACACAAAATTATACAAATCTATACTCCGCGCCAAAGCTGGTGGCGGCTGAGGGATTAGGACGGCCAGGTCGGTGAGCTGGTCAGACCTATGTAGTCCTACCTGGCCGTCCTAATCCCTCAGCCGCCACCAGCTTTGGCGCGGAGTATAGACTGTAGACCATGAATTTATTAATCAAGTTTTAGTAAGGACCTCATATTTGATTATATTACTTCAGGCTTTCTTCTATCACAAACCATACCAGAGCCAACTGATGTATTGTGTATTGACCTTGCAGGATGTATCAAGTGTCCAGGAGCTGAGAGAACATTACGAGCTAGTCCACAAGCAGCCTCCACACTACGTGTGTGCACAGTGCTCCAAGGATCATACACAGTTTCAAGCTTTCTTCCAACACATCAAACGCCATCGTAGCCTTCTAAAATACAGGTATGCACACTTGTATACAGTACAACCAACCAATGAGTTATGTACGACAAATTATAGGATTCATTTACAATATTCAGCCTATCACCTAATTTTACAGGTTTAATTCATTTTATGGACCAAGGGTCATTGCTAGCATCAAGAAACTGTACTGTACTTCAGTGAACGTCTTTTTCACACTTTTCTTGTGATCTGCACATGTGATTTGGTGTGTTGTACATTAATGATGGTTTCATCTGTTGTTTGGCAGCTGTGAGGAGTGTGGAAAGTGTTTCTCCAACAAGCGAGTGCTGGACTCTCACTCAGGATGTTCCAGCAACTCTCGTCCCTACACGTGCCAGGAGTGTGGGAAGGCGTTTAGGCATCAGAACGCATTGTACATCCACGCACGTTGCCATCTGCCTGAGGACGTCAAGAACAAATACCTCTGTGATCAGTGCAATAAGAGGTAAATAGTAAAGCAAGCTAGTTTTTTAATTTAACAATTAAATCACATCATCCTTTATAAGATACGTTGTTTAACAATGCATGTAAACGTAAATATTTACGTAACAGCCAATTTACCAATTTAGCCAATTCACTCTACTGTATGTAAAAAAATATCGATTGAAAAACAAACAATTAAGCGTAGTAAAAAAACCTCACTAGTCCGCTGCATTGTGATAGCTGAAAATTGTTGGAGTAAATCTGGTAAAAACCGCCGCTACAAGATACAGAAGATACGCCTGCAGCGCCCTCTACAGCTGCGCGTGCCGCTGGCACTGCTGCTCAACACATCCCCACCTAAAAGACGAGCAAGTGGCATGTCGGTCGGGTCAATTAACGACCAGTTGGTTTCTCGTATATAATAATTTAGTTTTACAGGCCGGTCAACTGGACTGACGATGAAATAACTTGTCGATGTACTGGTTTCCAGTATCTTATCTATTAAATTAAAAAAGACGGTCTAGTGGCCAAACGACCAAGTATCTTGTCGGTCAACTGGTGGCCCCCCGTAGGGTATAGTGACATCGAATATTGAATCTGTTAATATTCTTCTAGTATTTCAGTTTTGAATACAATATACTGATGGTACTGTTAATTTAACAGGTTCTCAACTAAGCCAAATCTAGTGACTCACAAACGTATCCACACGGGTATCAGGAACTTCACCTGTGACCAGTGTGGCAAAAGTTTCATACAGAAGGGCAACTTGGACGCTCATATGTTGACTCACTCTCAGGACAAACCCTTCACATGTCAACTCTGCAACAAGTCGTAAGTGGACCAGAGCTAACTGGTGTGGGGGGTAAATCATGAATACACGCAGTAATAGAAATGTGAAAAACAATAATATGAGGCATCAGCCAAGATGTCATAGAAATAAAAGGTTACCAACAATTGGAAGTAGTTTTAACAGGTAACAGATATCAAGTTACAAAGTTACGATATATACCTAGGCCTAGTTAAGGTGTGTAGAAAACAGGCAATTGTATCTGCATTTTAAAAGGATAAATGTCTGTAATGTGATTGGATTGTGAATTTTCTTTGGGCTAGGCGAATTAGGTTTTTTTTATTAATTCATTCACAGACTGCAATTTGTGTTCAACAGTAGTGTAGATTTTCTCTTCCATCATTAAGGGCTACTATAACTATACCTTCTGAAATAACACGAAGGTGGGGTACTGGCAATGTATTCTAACCTTATAAGAAGTGCAATGACTTTGTAAAAAAAAAAAATCAGTCCATTTAAGTGGGAATATTTGAATTTCGGATACTTCCCGCTGCTGCATCTAGGTAGCGAAGGCGCTACTATCGGGAACGTGTAACCAAGTCAGCTGACTGAGCCAGAGAGAGTGAGACAAAGTATCGACCTAAAGAAGGGGCACTCTTATAGGGGTTACTCTTAGGGGCAGCCGAGCGAAGTTCGTTTTGGCAGCAAGATTCGATTCTGACTATTCTCCATAAGCATTTCGCTTCTTAAAAGATTTTTATTCATGGCTCTGGCTAGATTAGTGAGGGAAATAAAGAACATGTGTAAGAGTTTGATTAGAAATGAGTTTATTCCATTTTGAAAGGAGCTCTTTGGATACCTTAATTAACAGACAACCGTCGTACGAATTTATATAGCTTAAAAGCTGGTAATATAATATAAACAGAGTCTACTAAATTACTTACCAAATCCACAGACCTCCGAACACAATATATTAAAGTACCTACCTTTACGGTATGCTAATGTACTTGTGGGTAGTCGGGTGTAATAGTCTCCTTTATCCTGACTGATAAAATGTATTTTCACAAACAATTGCAGATTAGTAGGCCCTACTGTGTAAATACTTATACAATCTCTATGTTGCAGGTTTAAGACAGCCATGCAGCTGCGGAAGCATCACTCGGTACACACGGGCGCCAAGCCGCATCAGTGTGACGTTTGTGGGCGTTCCTTCAGAGAGCGAGGAACACTCAGGGAACACCTACGGATACATACTGGAGCTATGCCCTTTACCTGCGAGTACTGTGGCAAGGCGTTCCGCTTTAAGGGTATCCTTACGGTAAGTTGCAGGGGCTAGGAACACTGTTACTTAGTCTTAGCAAAACATTTAGGCCTAAACAAACTCAATTTAACAAAACCAATTTAAATTAGAAATTAGAAATTTGATTAATCCTAACCAAAGTGAGTAATTTCATATTTTAGTAGATTTGGTTTGATGAAAAATTGAAATTATATTTAAAAAATTCATTTTGTTGGCCAAGGTTGTAAATTGGATAAAATATTCTTTTTGTTGTTCCTTACAACGTATTCTTTCAAGAAATTTTGAGTTTCATTGAATGGAGTGTTTAGTAATGGGATGACCATTAAAGCCAACACTGGTACAAACAGATAAGAAAGCTCTATGAGTACAGCAGACAATTCTATATGATACTAAACAGAGCCAAATTAATTTCATTTATTTATTTTGTTGCCCATTATCTGGAACTGCATATGTGAGACAAAGCATGATAGATAATCATCCTTGTTTTAAGGTTACAACTTCAGGTTGGGAACCTCCTTTATTCTCACATTTGTCTCTCAACATGGGCCTTGTGCCTGATTGCAAAATGAGGGTCGAGCCGATAGAGTTCACAAATAGTACTGACAAATATTAGTGGCGGCAACTTACAAAATTGTTGGGCCACAGACCCACCTACACTACTGCAACAATATGTATATTGTCCACAGACACACAGAAGACAACACACTGGGGAGAGACCCTACTCCTGTCTGGAGTGTCAACACCACTTCACAAACTGGCCTAACTACAACAAGCACATGAAGCGGAGACACGGCATCAACACCAGCCGACAGTCCAGAACCAAGTCTCATCCCCCGGCGCCACTACCCCCAGCACCCCCGCCTACACTGGACCCTCTACCATTGTACGAGGAGTTCCCCGCCACCACCTACCATCCCCACAACACATTCAGTGGGGCCCCGTTGCAGCAGTACTTCTCCTTTACCCACCTAGACCCTTCCCTGGACATGATGCAGCATAGGTAGCAAACACTCTCTATCTAGATTTAGATCTACTTTTGTATTTTATATATTACTACTATTAGGTGCTAATGTACAAGTTTCCTAATCAATAACATTAGGATGTATTTAATACATTGGGTAAGAGTTTCTCACAGTGATATGTGATTATTTTCAGGAAATAATGAAACCTATATTGTGCCGTGAGACCGGGACTATGAAGGTTTTAAATAGACGTATACGAGAATTTCCTTTGTAAATGATTGAGCGGAGCAAGCAAAGCTCTTATATATTACTTTCCTGCTTTCGTTTTCCACATACTCCTACTGAACGGCTGAGGTGATCCACATGAAATTTAGTACAGTCATAGTAACCAACTATGGGAAGGTTACCAAATTGTACAAAAGGTTTACAAATTGAACTAAAGTCCTTTTCCCTATGTAAATTTAAACTTTTAGAAATTTAGTATGGGTCATAACATACGTATAATACAAGCACATTACAAAAATACAGAACAAAAGAAAGAATGATTGGATAATGCGGTTGAGCATAATATACTACAAAATGAAAAACCAATTAGAGCCTATGCACCATTGACTTTGGATACTGCTAGTAGACATCCCAATTACGACGAACCTGATGTACCAATGACATTAGATACTGGAAGCAGACATCCCATTTACGTGAACCAGATTCAACATTGACTTTGGATACTGCAAGTAGACATCTCATTTATATAAACCAGATTTAGCATTGACTTTGAACATTGCAAGTAGACATCCCATTTTGTGAACTCAAGCACATTTGGGAACAATCAATTCTTGGTTACATTTCCTAAAATTATTGGATTAATATGCTTGCTCCGATCAATATTGTACTAGTAAGAGTTTGGGACATTACAATGATTTTAGAATGAAATAATACAGTGTATACATGAGTTACGCTAGGCAAGTAGCCTATAGTTTCATTTACAGTATATACATGCTAATCCTTCTATCTTTATACTTAACATAACAAGAAATATCCCTGAAATATTGGTTTTCTTCCAGTCCTATTGAACTAATTTTTACAATTGAGGTACTGTATCATTTTCAAGCTTACCAACTGCAGTTTTTCTACTATTTAAAAAAAAATTATCCCCACCACTTGATCCTACCTTTAAAACAATAGCTGACCAACTGAGCTTTGACAAAACGTTAATCAGCTGCAACGTGTACATTAAACAAAAAAGTAGTGGGGGAACTTTCACTCAAACCGCCTAAATTTTGTAAATCACTAAAATTAAAATTAATTTTAAGTGTTTCAATATTAAATATTGCATCCTAATAAGTGTTAATAACTACTCCATTTATTAAACTGGATTTGGTAATCATGGAACTTAACAATAATTAATTAGCTCTTCCAGAACAATGTTTTGCGTTCCCCTTAGATATTGTTTTGTGCGTAGTAGTGATGTGTCAAAAAGAATCTCAAATCTCAAAACCATCAAAACTTTGGAAAAGTTTCGGTCTCGAGATTCGATCACCGAGTTTCAAGATTTAAAAGTTTTGAAATTGAAGATTTTAGATTTTGGTAGTTTTGTTTCCACACAAGCTGGTAGCAATAGAGCAAACGGATCACATATTAACAATAAAGAAACATGTAAATTGTATTCTGTACTTCAAAAGGCATCTTACATACTATAACTGGAACGACGTACAATTCAGTTTCATATTGATATTTACTAAACACAAAGAAATATTGACCACTAAATGTTCTTATCTAATATTCATGTTTATGTTGGTGTCAGGAGTTTAATTTATTTTTCACCACACTACGATGTTTTAGCCGTTTTACAAACGGTTATTGATGGCCGAAAGCTACATATTGCTGTCTATTCCAGCTGTCATCGTCATTTTGGGACCGAGCAGGTTTTTTACATCCCTAGAGCCGAAAATCAGCTGCCTGCTTACTTCCTTAAAACATTAATGCATATAAAATACACAATCAGTATCCATAGCATTGCAAGAGAATTGTTTTATTGCCACCGCTGCGCTGTCTTGCAACTCTTTACTTTATTATTAGTACCTGGGGACCGAGCTTTGCTCAGGTAAAATCGTTAGTTTAATATTAAAGCAGTCTTAGTATTGCAGATATATTAATCCATTCCCAAACTCCACACTGCTCACCTTTACTACTTCGTTCACCGGTTCACCACTTCCTACGTCGTGGGTCTGTTTCCTTCCCGTCCCATAGCATTTTAAGATTGCAGATACCTTAATCCGTTCGTCATAAACTGTTCCCACACTCCGGACTGCTCTCCTTTACTACTTTCTTCACCACTTCCTACGTCGCAGACCTGTTTCTCTCCCTTTCCATAGCATTTTAGGATTGCAGATACCTTAATCCAATCGTCATAAACAGTTCCCGAACTCCGGACTGCTCGCCTTTACTACTTCCTTCACCACTTCCTACGTCGCGGACCTTTTTCCCTCCCTTCTCATAGCATTTTAAGATTGCAGAAACCTTAATTTAATCGTCATAAACAGATCCCACACTCCAGACTACTTGCTTTGACTGCTTCCTTCACCACTTCCTACGTCGCGGCCCTGTTTACCTCCCTCCCCATATCATTTTAAGATTGCAGATACCTTAATCTAATCTTCAAAAGCAGTTCCCACACTCCGGACTACTCGCCTGGACTACTTCCTTCACCACTTCCTACGTCGCGAACTTGTTTCCCCCCTCCCCATAGCATTTTAAGATTGCAAATATCTCAAATTAATCGTCACAAACAGTTCACACACTCCGGACTACTCGCATTTACTAAATCCTTCACCACTTCCTATGTCACGGACCTGTTTCCCTCCCATCCCATAGAATTTAAGATTGCAGATACCTTAATCTTATCTTCAAAAACAGTGCCCACACTCCGGACTACTCACCTTCACAACTTCCTTCGCCACTTCCTATGTCGCGGACCTGTTTCCCTCCCTTCCCATATAATTTTAAGATTGCAGATACCTTAATCTAATTGTCATAAACAGTTCCCACACTCCGGACTACTCGCCTTGACTACTTCCTTCACCACTTCCTACGTCACGGACCTGTTTCTCTCCCTTTACATTGCATTTTAAAATTTCAGACACCGTAATCTAATCGTCATAAACAGATCCCACACTCCACACTGCTACCCTTGACTACTATGTATCGAGTTCAGTTTAATCTTTGCTTAATAGTAACAACTGATGTTTTTCCTTTTGTACTGTATTTTGTTTTGCTAGTATACTGTAGATAGAGAACTTCTGCGCATGCGCAAGCTGAGGTGACTGTGGGTACAGAACGTCACGTTATGTCTTAAAATGTAAACAAAATGACAACAATGGCGGAATGTTTTCTCATAAGGCCCATGTTAAATTTTCAAAAGTTTGTACTCATATTATGGCGAAAATAGATTTTTCCTGGCTATACCACTGGTCTAGAACTTATTTTTGACACAGAACTTAGTTATTCCGTAAATATAAACGTTTTTGTTAGAGCCGATTCCCAGATCGAGTTGACAAGTATTCAAACTTTACTCGTATTATATATAGGATTTTTGCTGATTCCTCAAATTATTTCTTCACATAACCTTAAAGTTGCAGTTGTGTTGACTATTAGTGTGCATTATTATTGTGGTGAATAGTGGTCATAGGGTATAGTGTGGTGGAAAATAGCGTTTGTACCACGTACCAAAATGTTTTTGCAGCTCTTGATCGTTTTAAGTTATCGACTTCGTCTCAAACTTAAAAACTATCCTCACTCGAGCCGGCAAAACCTCTTTTTCATTTTGAGATTTGAGTTTTGAGATTCGGGATTCGATTTTTTAAAGTTTGGGGTTGAGTTTTGAGATTTGAAATTTCTAGTTTTGACCATCAATAGTGCATAGTCAATCTGACGGTATACTATAACAGAATTTAACACGACACACATCACGTTTTAAAAAAAGCTATCAAGTTTGAGGTTGTATTCTGTGGGGCTTAAACCGGATTTTGGCTGTAAAAATTAGAGACTGAAGTAATTAAGTTACATAACAAGTTCTCAATATCAACTAGGAATCTACATTTTGCAGGTAAATTATTTTGTGTTGTAATAATGATAATGTCTAACGATGATAACCTTGAATCCAGTTTCGCTATTGAAATCTTTTCACGAACTGAATCGTTAGTTCTTAGTTCTTTACTGAGAGACTAAAATAAATGCTATAACAGTACAGGTTCCAGTGTACCTGTCGTATTTTGCTTGTCTGATTAGGATTTAATGATGAGTCAGCAGCTATATTCCTTGACTACTTGCCATGGTTATGTCTTTAGGGAAATTTTTAAATAAGCTAGTTTTAACGTGTGAAACTTTATTTATGGCTACTATGAATTTATTGACCGTTTTCATGCTCTCTTTAATAGGGGTTATAGACAGAGAAAAATGTTGAATTGTTACTGCAAACTATCTCTAAGAGTACTGCAAATTTTGGTTCACAAGGGTATAATTTTAAAACTTGAAATAATTACCATTGTAATGCATCTAATGAAATACGATATTTATGAAAAGTTGCTTCTGGTTTTTGTTTGAGAGTATTATGAGATGTAATGTATTTTGTAATTTGATTTTCATATTCAATAATGCAATTAATTTAATGTTATGTTGACGGTTATTCCCATATACTATGTGTGGAATATCTATATGCGTGAGAAGAACATGCCATGTTGTAAAACCTAGGTATTTTTATTAATTAATCTAGTGAAAAGTACACTAACTTCACACTACAATGTTATGTTATAGCCTTTTATATCAGGTATCATGCTCTGTAGTTTATTGGTCTTCCGTGTGCTTATACTATTTTTAACATATCCAATATGTTAGTTCATCTTCTCATACTTTGGAATATACTTGTTATAATCCAAGACTTAAATTTAATATTTTTTATATTGTATGTTTTTGTTTATTTATTTTGTCTTTATCGTAAAATTTAATTGAAGATACGCTAATGGATTTTCTGTTTGAAAATATTTATTGAAACAAAAATCAAAGTAAGCGAGTTATGCATGAGAACGTAGTACAAAGCCAAATAAACTTTAGGTTATGTTACACCATTGACTTTTGGATACCGAAGTCCTGTAATTGTAAAAACTACACAGTTTTTCAAACATAAATAATCAAAGTTAAAAGAATGATTTTATTGAATCGTAAGCCTTATACAGTTTTGTATGATTATTCCCTTTGTAATTATGTGTTACAGCAAATAGATTGAATACATGCTTCATGACAGGCTTTCAAAGTGAGGTAATTCTAAAATTTGGTGTGTGTCTCATTTAGTGCTTTATCTAGTTTGCGTTTTAAAATGTAGATAGTAGGTTTCATTTTGTTTATTTTTTTCTGT